CACTTGGTAGCCCAGGCTGGCCTCGAACTCACAGAGATCCGCCTGGCTCTGCCTCCCGAGTGCTGGGATTAAAGGCGTGCGCCACCACCGCCCGGCGGAAGTAGCATCTCTTATACATGCTGTATACTTAAAATAATTTTAATGGTTTTTGAATATGGAATAATTAAAACTTTAAATCAGGAAGCAGGTCATAGGCATCTAGAAAACAGTAATGCTAGGAATTATTTACTAAAACATTGTTTCTTCCTTCAAGTGTGTGTGAGCAATATTTATACTGTTTTTGCTTCCTTTTTCATACATTGTTAGTTTTGATTAGTCCTTCTCTTAACCCTCACCTCTTCCTCCATGTCTCTGTTCCTTTTCCCACTTCAATTGTTACATCTCCAACATTCCCCCTTCTTTATCAATGCATTTTACTACTCTGCTCCACACCTTGGAGAATCCTTTCTCCTTTCTCATGAGCTCCTTTCTGGGGGCTCTACACAGCACAAATTAAATAGAGTGCGTCTTTCTGAGCCTGAATCACCTTGCTTAATGGACTTTCCAGTTCCATCCATTTCCCCATAAATTCCACTTTATTTTACAGCTGAATAAAATTCTATTATATATCTGTACCACTGATTTTCTCTTTTCTCATGAAAATTTTTATTTCTCATTTATCAATTGATAGACATCTAGGCAGAATAAATTTTCTGCTATTATGAATAGAGCAGTAAGAAACATGGATTTGCAAATATATCTGTGGATATATGCCTAGGAGTGGTATAGCTGGGTTATATAGGGTGGGTCATAGTGGAGTGATAAAGAGCTTGCCTGCTCTGCCCTAGGTTCTGTCTTCATTGTGCGTGCGTGCGTGCGTGCGTGCGTGCGTGCGTGCGTGCATGCGTGTGCGTGCATGCCTGTGTGTGTGTGTGTGTGTGTGTGTGTGTGTGTGTGTTTAGTGGGTAATTCTGCCATGCATTCCATGCATCGGCTCTGGAAATCCTGGCTTTGTGTCTTAGTCATTAGCATCATCTTTGCTGTAGGTATGTGGAAAGGTCTCTGGAAGTGTTACCCCTAGAGACAGTTAAAACTTGCTGTTGGGGCCAGGGTGGGTCATTACTGATGAAGGATACCCAGCAGCAAGACCCAGAGCCCATGTGTGAACTAGCCTGTGTGGTACCCAGGGTCACAAAGTCCAGAGTCTTTCTCAAAGAGGCCATCTGTGGGACCTCACTGCTGCTTCCCCTCACAGATGAAATCCCCGACGTGTACATTGTGGAGCGCCTCTTCTCCAGCAGCCTGGTGGTGGTGGTCAGTCACACAAAACCTCGGCAGATGAACGTGTACCACTTCAAGAAAGGCACTGAGATCTGTAATTACAGCTACTCCAGCAACATTTTGTCCATACGGCTGAACCGGCAGGTGAGGAGGTGGGACCCCCCCAGGTTTCTAGGCTTCTGCAAATTGGAGTGTCTTTGGGCTAGCTAGATGGCTCAGCGGGTAAAGGCACTTGTCACCAAGCCTGGTGAGCTGAGCTCGGTCCCAGCCACCTTCACAGTAGAACAAAACTGACTCCTGCAAGTTGTCCTCTGACCTCTGCATACATGCAGTACATGTGCATGCATACACAGACAGAAATAAATAAATGTAATAAAAAAATTAAGATGAATGTCTTTGAGGTATAGCTCAGAATGCTTGCTTGGCATGTGCAAGGCCCTGGATTTGATCCCCAGTTCCCCGTAGACAGAGCAGCATGGTGGTGTGAACCTGTGATACCAACTCAGGAGGGAACCTGTGATGTCAGCACTCAGTAGGTAGAGGCAGGAGAATCAGAAGATCAAAGCCATCCTTCTTGGCAATATAGCAAGTTTGAGCCTGGCGTGGACTACATGAGTCAGTGTCTCAAAAGCAGGTATCAAATGCTGTAGATAACAGAACTTTTAACAGCAGACTTGGGCTCATGGGTGAAGTATAAAGAGCATCTACTTCATGCATCTTCCCCAGTCATACTGGCTCATATTGTCTCTCTGGCAACATGATGGAATGCCCATTGCCTGGCCAAGCTCACCATCTCCTCTTGGTGCAGGCTGGGCACCAGCACGGATAGGTTGGAGCTCTGACCAGGTCTGTTGTATGAGTTGCCTTAGGACATCTACAAAGTGTGGTTTCTCCCCCCCCCCCCCCCCCGGGGGGGGGGGCAGCTATGACCTTCTGCTCTGTCCTTGGCCTTTTCTGCTTGGTCAGCTACACAGTCTTGTGTTTCTGCCTTTGCAGCTAATACCCACTCCTTCCCTGCCATGCAAGGGATTGAACCTAGGATATCTCTTCATTTTAGCGAGAGTTACACCACTGCGCTAGAGCTACAGCTCCTTCAGCTAACCCTTAAGGATATATTCTTGTAGTGTTTTCATTGTTGAAAGGAAAATTACTCTCATCTCAAATACACAGTATGCCTTTAAACACACACACACACACACACACACACACACACACACACACACACACTAGCACTTAGGAGGTATTTAGTGTGTTAGCATACCCTTCCTGGGTGACTGGGTTTTACATCCTGTGAAAGCAGGGGCTGGGGCAGTTCTGTTCATCACTATGAGACCTGACGGGAGAGAGCTCTTGAACACTTTCCTGCCTAACTTAAATAAGTGGATAAATCAAGAGTCCCTTCCTGGGTTATGCAGAGTTATTATCTTGATTCAGTATTCCTAGGAACAGGGAATCCGTAGCATTCCTTGAGGATAGTGGTTTCTTCTTCTTCTTCTTCTTCTTCTTCTTCTTCTTCTTCTTCTTCTTCTTCTTCTTCTTCTTCTTCCCCTTCCCCTTCCCCTTCTTCCCCTTCTCCTCCTTCTTCTTCTTCTTCCCCTTCCCCTTCTCCTCCTTCCTCTTCTTCTCTTCTTCCTCCTCCTTCTTTCTCTTCCTTTTCCTCTTCCCCTTCTCCTTCTTGAATCTGAACCATTAAATGCTGATTAACATTTTTAAGACATTTTTATTTTATGTATATGAGTAGTTTGCCTACATGTATGTATACCACATGCATGCAGTGCCTGATGAGGCCAGAAGAGGGTGGTGAATCCCTTGTAACTGGAGTCACAACTGGAGTTACAGGCTGTTGTGGTTGCTGGGAACTGAACTCAAAATCCTCTGCAAGAGAAGCCACTAATCTTAACTGCCAATCTATCTCCAGTCCTATGGGTTTTTTGTTTTGTTTTGTTTTGTTTTTAAATAATGAGATCAAGTATTTTTTTAAGTTTCTGAGAAGGAAAAGATTGTTACTTTGAGTTTTTTGTTTTGTTTCATTGACATAGTAGCCTCATTCAGTAGCCTAGGCTAGCCTGGAGCTCAAAGTGATCCTCCTGCTTCAGCCCCCACTCCCCCAAATGCTGGGAATATAAGAGTGAACACCACACCTGGCTTGTTGCTTTGAGTCCATCGGCTATTTTGACGGAGTATCCACTAAATTCGTAGAAAAGAGCCACAGAAGCAGAAGATGGAAAACTTCAGTGACACAGAGCAGGCAAAAGACAGAAAAGAAGCCTGAGGTCTCAGTAAGAGAAGGGAGGGCAGCTTTGGAGTTTCCTACCTGAGAGATTTCAAGTAGGGTTCTTGCCTCAAGCGTGCCCCCGGACCTGTTGCAAGTTTTGTTGCAGAACCTTCCATTTTGCGCACAGTAGCCAGCATATGACAGCTAAATGTCTGTTTGGTACCTGGCCACCTTCTAAACACGACTTAGTAAATGTTATCCCAACCAGAGCTCTCAAGTAATACTCATGGAATTTGCTGGTATGATTTCTCAGGTAGTCTCATTAGCAAACGAGGCAAGTAAGAGCTACTTAAGTGTCTGAGTCTGTCAGACTGTAGGTACCAGCCTCCACTCCACAGAGCACTCACTGACTTCAGGTTCTCGTTCCCCACCTTCTGGAGAACACAGTTGTAGGCAGCCCCACCCTACAGTTAGTGCCGGGGCGAGCAGCAAGCCAGAGCTAATGGCCGTGCCTTTAGCCTTTTTGTCTTCCAAGATGACTTGATGCAGATCTGGAAGGGGTTCTGGTTTTCTTTTCTTAAAGTTGCCAGGCTTTGGACTTAATTTTTGGTTTAGGCAATTCATCTGCTGAAAGGAAGTCTTGCAGTGCCCGCAGAGCTGCCTGCCCAGGGTAATGGTAAAGGGCTCAGGGTGGACATGTATTGCCCAACAGCAATCACCCTGCATTTGTCAATTCTTCAGACATATGGCTCCTTTTTAAAAACAGGAAAAATGGCAGATTTATGTAAGAAGTTACAAAGAAACAAAAATCCATGTTTTCAGATAGGGCCTATTAGTGCACTCCGGTAATCCTAGCACTTAGGAGGACAAGGCAGGAGAATGGCACATCACAGGATAGCCTGGGCTATGCAGAATAGGACTCTGCCTCAAAACAGAAGCTTGTTTTCAAGGCCAGGAATGAAGCCCAGCTGGTATCGTGAGTGCTTGCCTACCAAGCACAAAGCCCTGGGTTCATCACATAAAACCAGGTGTGATGATGCATGCCTATAATCCAGCGCTGGTGAGGTAGAGGAAGATGAGAAATTCAAAGCCATCTTCTGTTGTATAGCAAATTACAGGGAAGCCTGGGCTGCAATGAGACCCTGTCTCAAAAAACCAAATATGCCCATTCACAAAATAAATAGGTAAATAAATAGAAAAACAAGGGCTTGGAGATGGCTCATTGGGTAGGCATGCTTTTTGTACTTAGCAGAAGGACCTGAGTTGAACTCCCAGTCAACCATGTAAAAAGCTAAATGTGGATGCACACACACACACACACACACACACACACACACACACCTGTAACTCTAGTGCTGTGGGAAGTTGAGGTCCGCTCACCTCCAGCCTCGATGGAAAATTCCAGCTCCAGATGCAGTGAGAGACCCTGCCTCAAAAGAACAAAGCAGAGAGTGGGGGGGGGGGGAGGACACCTGACTTCCTCCTTTGGCTCTGCATGTTCACGTGACCTCACACACATATGTGCATGTGTAGCTCACATATATCCCGTTCACAAATCCCTCTAAATATGCAGAAAGCAAAGGGGCTTAGAGATCCTGATATGTTCCATTTTCAGTCAGTGTCATTGTGTATGTGGTTAATGCAGACATGTGTTTTCTTAGATGACAGCCATACACTAGATGTTGTTAGCTAAGGAAGCTTTCATAGTTATTTAACCCTCTGCTTCCTGTTAGCCTGCTGCAGGTTGATTGAGGCAGATGCTTAAGGCAGATGTCTAATTCTTTAACTGATGAAAAGGATTAACTACCTATGAAACATAAGATGAAAGTCAAAATTGGCTGGGGATGTAGTTTAGTTGGCAGTGTTTGCCTAGCATGCTTGAAGCCCCGGGTTCAATTCCCAGCACCACATAAAACCAGAATTGGTGAGGCATGCCTGCAACCCCAGCACTTGGGAAGTGGGGGTGGGAAAACCAGAAATTCAAAGTCAGTCTGGGCTACATAGGGGGTTTGAGGTCAGCCTGGGCTGCCTAGGGAGCTTGTGGTCGGCCTGGGGTACATAGGGAGCTTGTGGTCGGCCTGGGCTGCCTAGGGAGCTTGTGGTTGGCCTGGGCTACATAGGAAGCTTGTGGTCAGCCTGGGCTACATAGGGAGTTTGTGGTCAGCCTGGGCTACCTAGTGAGCTTGTGGTTGGCCTGGGCTACAAGATGAATCACAGTGGTGAGCTGAAGGCAGGTGTGGCTGGAGCTGGAGCCCAGCTGGTAACAGCAATCGCCAGCTTGTGCTTGTTCCGGAAGCCAGCTCTGTGTGACTCAGGACGAGTACTTCCTCATACCCTCCCTGCGTTTCCTGGTTCCCTCCCTTTTCATTCTTGTCTCTGGCTGGAATGGTGGTGACCCAGTGGGGTCCAGATGAGTGGTCCACTGAGCTGACAGCACTGTAATGATGCTGACCAGGTCAGATGAGCCTAAAGATGATGTTCCTTCAAGAAGAACCTGTCAGGGCCACCCTCTCCTGAGAATTGGGTGCAGGGCTGGAAGGGGATACCAGAGACTATTAGAAACTCAGAACAGAAACAAACATAGAAAAAGATAAAAACAAACCCTGGTGTGGCTGGCAGAAGGGGATACCAGAGACTATTAGAAACTCAGAACAGAAACAAACATAGAAAAAGATAAAAACAAACCCTGGTGTGGCTGGCAGAAGGCAAAGTGATCAGGTGACCACTTCACAGAGAAGTGGCAATATTTTGAAAATTTTTTAAAGTATCTTTTGGTAAGTTTTTGTTTGTTTATTTGTTTGTTTTTTGTTTTTTCGAGACAGGGTTTCTCTGTGTAGTTTTGGTGCCTGTGCTGGAACTCACTCTTTAGACCAGGCTGGCCTCGAACTCACAGAGATCTGCCTGGCTCTGCCTCCACACACCACCTCCCTCCCCACCCCCCCATCTCCCCCCCCACCTCCCCACCCCCTGCCGAGTGCTGGTATTAAAGGTATGGGCCACTGCTGCCCGACTGGTAAGTTTTTAAAAATCTTTTCCGAGGGTCTGGAGAGATGGCTCAATGGTTAATAGCACTGGCTGCTCTTCCAGAGGACCCAGGTTCAGTTCCCAGCACCCACATGGCAACTCACAACTGTCTGTAACTCCAGTTCCAGGGAATCTGATACCTTCACACCAATGCACATAAAATAAAGTTATTCTGTGTATGAGTGTTCTGCCCACACTTATGTATGTGTGCCACATTCATGCAGTGACCAGGGTAGACAGAAGAGGGCATAAGATCCCCTAGAGCTGGAGTTACAAATGATTGTGTGCCATGTGGGTGCTGGCAGCTGAACCCGGGTCCTCTGCAAGAGCAGCCAGTGCTCTGAACTGTTGAGCCATCTCCCCAACACCCCCTTTTAAGCTTTAAAGTTCATTTATGTGTGTGGATTTGTGTGTAATGGGGGTGGATTGCATGTGCCACAGAGAACATGTGAAGGTCAGAGGACAACTTTATGTGTGGAGTTGATTCTCTCCTTCCATCTTTATGGGGGATCCAGGGATTAAATGTGAGTCCTCAAACTTGAGCAAGTCCATTTTCCCACTGAGCCATCTCACTAATCCCAACTTGGAGATCTTGCTAGAATTTTCTTTCCTTCTCATACACAGTTTTAACACTGTGGCCAGAATGCTAATTAAAAGAGAGAAGAGTGCCTGAAGGTGCGGTTGGGGTTGGACAAGGTGTCTCAGCCCTGTCATCCCAACTACTTGGGCATCTGAGGCAGTAGGACCATGAGTTCAAAACATGCCTGGGCTATAGAGAGAGTCCGGGGCCAGCCTCAGCAACTTAGTGAAACGCTGTGTCAGAAAACACAGAGAAAGGGATAAAATCTAGATTTCAGCCATGCAGAGAATCTAAAGAAGCCTGCATTTGTGTAAGAGGAGAACTCAGTCACCAGCATGGAATGTGGGAACAGAACAAGAGGTTCCCTGAACCATCTTGTTCTAGGGATGGGGAAGGAAAGAGGGAGACAGGGGGGCGGATCTCTAACTAAAGTAAAATTTAGGATCTTGTGTTTTAAGCATCTGCCCAAGTGGGCAATGCTGTGTCTGTTTATGTTCATAAACATGACCTTCAAAAGGCTTCATTAGCATTTCTCCCCCTTTAGGAGTGGAATCAAGTTAGAACTCACAGGCAAGACCAGCAAGGACTTGGTGGGTCCCTTTTCACAGGCTCTGTGGGGGAGGCTGATGGTTCTGTCTGATTACAGAGGCTGCTGGTCTGCCTGGAAGAATCCATCTATATCCACAACATTAAAGATATGAAGCTATTGAAGACCCTCCTGGACATCCCCTCAAACCCAACAGGTGAGTGCCAGCAAGAGTACCGAGTCTCTCCCCTCCCCAATGTGAAGGTGCTTCATTCCCAAGCTGCATTTTCACATCGCCTGAAAAATCTGAGCCCAGGGTATGCTTTGGGAGTCCTAATGGTGTCTGAGTTGAAGATGCATTTGAATGGTGACAGATTCGAATTATGAAAACCTGTGGTCCCTGTGGAAAGGCTGTGCAGCCTGCCTAGTAGCCCAAGAGAAGCATCCTTCTTCGGGGACCCATGTAAGCAAATGGGCTGGGGCATGTCGGATAGATGCGTGGGAGATTTCATGCATCCGATGTTGAAAGGTGTTTACCCCTAATGCATTTTTGTGACTGTTCATTACAGAGTAGGTGTGATAATTAGAAGCAAGTTTTAACTTGGTATGTCTGCACGGTTAGTTAGCCAGACCATCTGAACTACAAAGAAGGTGTTTTCTTATGTGAGTTTTAAAAATACTTTTCTCAAGGTGGGTAATATTCTAGAACATTGAATTTGGTTACATTCTCAGAATTTACCATTTAAGCTTCTGGTGTCTAAGATTGGAAGAGTTTGGATGGGTTAGGATGAAGTTGCAGATGCTGGGCATCTTCTGAACTCATTGAGCTGAAAGTGAGGGAGCATGAATCTCTTCATCATGGTGTGGGGAGTCGTCCCCCAGGGCAGTCTGTGTATCTAACAACCCAGGCTAATACTTATGGGTCATGGGGCTGGAGAGATGGCTCAGCAGTTAGAGCGCTTGTTGCCCAGCACCCACATGGAGGTTCACAGCTATCGGTGACTCCAGTTCCAGGGCGTAGATACCTTCTTCTGAGACCTACAGGCACTAGGCACATACAAATACATAGGTACACATACAAACATACACACATACATGGTGCACATACATACATGCAGGCAAAATATTCACACATGAAAATTTTAAATCTAGAAATACTTCAGTGAAAAAATTAATAGTTTTTAAGAATCTGTGTTCTAACTTAGTGTCACTAGATGACTACTTCATTTTCTGTAAGTTTCCCAATTCCATGACTTTCAATACAATTTCAGAATCTGCGTTGCCCCACACAACTGGGTGGGGCTTTTTGAGCCCGGGGTTCCTAGTTTGCTGTAAGGATGATGAGCATCTCACAGCCTAGGCTGAGCACTAAACTGGATAAAGCTTATGAAGGTGACCAGGACAGGGCTAGCCACTAAATCCTCCCCTTGACTGGTTTCCCTCTCTTCTCAATGATTTCAATGTCCTTTGCTGTTGATATCTGTGTGTGCATGTGTGTGATCCTGGGGATTAAGCCCAGGATCTCACACGTGCTTATTGGCACATTCACTAGCACCAAACAACTCCTGTCTCCTCTAAGATGCGGAGACTGGGGCTGGAGAGATTTCTCAGTGGTTAGAACTTACTGCCCTTCCAGAGGACCCATGTTCAGTTCCCAACACCCACATGATCACACACAACCCTCCATATAACTCCAGTTTCTGAGTATCCAATGCCTTCTTCTGATTTCCAGGGATACCAGACATACATGTAGTATACATATATGCAAACAAAATACTTGTGACATAAAAATAAATAAGTAAAAGTAATGTTTGAAAAAGATGCTAAGGCCATTATGAAGTTCTGAGGGAGGCTGGAAATGGTGGTGGTCAAGTGCTTAGCTAGCTGCCCAAGACCGTGTGCTCCATCCCTAACACTCAAGAAGAGAAGCATGAAGCTCCAAGAGTTAATGACTTTGAAGCACATTTCACAAGTGTCTTAGTTAGGGTTTCTATTGCTGTGAAGATTCTTATAAAGGAAAACACTTCATTGAGGCTGGCTTACAGTTCAGAGATTCAGTCCATTATCATCATGGAGATAATCATGGCTACATGCAGGCTGTCATGGTGCTGGAAAAGGAGCTGAGAGTTCTACACCTTGATCTACAGGCAACAGGAAGTGAACTGTCACACTGGGTATGGCTTTAGCATATATAAGACCTCCTCAAAGCCCACCTCTACCATAACACACTTCCTCCAACAAGGCTACACCTACTCCAACAGGGCCACACCTCCTAGTAGTGCCACTCCCTGTGGGCCAAACATTCAAACACATGAGTCTATGGGGGCCGCGACCAGGAAGGGATTCATAGTGGTAAGTTTACCATTTTAGGAGTAAGGGTTGAACCAGTCTAGAAGAGCATTTATTGTAACATTTCTGTGTGCCCAGCGGCAGTAGGCCCCAACAGGGACAGACCGAAAGGTTTCTGCACCCAGATATTGGTTTCTCCACCAGTGCAATAAATCAGATTACACTGAATTAATAAGACCAGGTTTAATCTGAACAAAGCAATTCCCAGGTGACTCTTGGGGGAAGGAAGCAGGAGAGAAAGCAGGTTTGGAGACAGTGTCTTAAATACTCTGTAGACTGGTCCTGTGCATCTCCAGGGGAGGAGCTGACCCTTGGTGGGCTTTCTGAGGAGCGGGGCCTGGAATGGGAGGAGTGAGCTCTTGAGCAGAGATTCCCAACACAGACCAACCCTCTGCTTATCTGGAACTGTGATCCCAGCTTTTCTGGGTCAGTGGAGGGCAGAAGCCCTAGCACCCTGTGGCAGGGGTGAAATGCCCTCATCATGGGCTGTGGACAATGCAAGAGAAGACGTGCTTTTATGATGGGCACATGAAATGCTGGGATCTGAGCAGAGGTCCCAGAGGAGAGGGCCTGAGCTCTGCTTTGCTGGGTTTGGGAAGAGATGATCAGTACATAGAAAAGTACACTCTAAAGAGAGTGCATTTGGGGTACAGTTAGCCCATTTCCTGCCTCTCACTCATCTCTCACTTGGCCACTGGGACTGTGTGTTGGAGCAGCTTCAGCACAGAGGCATGCCCCACTATAGGAAAAAGGAAATGACTCCTTCTTACTCTTAGTCTTCATCTAATATACACGCATGTGTCCCCTAATGACAGGAGGAGTTCCAAGAACTGTGTCGTTAGGTGGTTTCCTCATTGGCAAACCTCACAGTATCCTTGTGCAAACCTAGATAGCGTAGCATAGTAAACCTGGGCTGTATGGTGAATACTATTGTGTGTATGGTCTATCCTTGGCTAGAATAGTGGTTTATTTGTTTCTCTGTATTTGTTTCTCTGCAGCCAAGAAAACTCATTGGTTGCCTAATTTTTGCAGTGAGGGCAGAGCAAGGAGAAAAATAAAATTAGGAGGTTGTTTGTGCCCTTGATGAAAGGGAGTAAGTCTCTTTTCATCTGTTTGTTGAGATAGGGTCTTACCGTATAGCCCAGGCTAGCCTCAAACCCTCAATCTTCCAGCCTCTGTCTCCTGAATGCTGGGATTAGAGATGTGCATCCCCATTCCTGCCAACACTAAATCAATCACTTTTATCTCAAGAAAATTTAGAGCCAGGAGTTGTGATGCACACACCCATAATCCAGCTTTCAGGAGCCTGAAGCAGAAGGCTTCCATGAGCTGGAGGCCAGTCTGAGCTACATAGTGAGTTCCAGGATAAGTAAGAGCTACATAGTTGAGACCCTGCTCCTTGCTCCCTGTTCCCTTGCAGAAAAACATGAAAAACATTTTCTTGGTCTCAGATAAATATTACAACAGGATTTAGGGATGTGTTGATTAATTCATCTAAGAGACAGGCAAGTTAATCACAGCACATCCATTTAGATGCCTAATGTCCTCTCAGAGCAGTAGCCCCAAATAGTCTCAAATCCCAGATTCACAGTTCCCACCGCTGCCTCCTCTGAACTGCCTTTTCCTGGCAGTGAGCTGGGGTGATGGGTTCCGGCTTTTGGAGCTGCACGGAGTGGAGGGACTGACTAAATGTGTGAAGAAGCCAGGGTTCATCTGTGTTTGTGTCAACAGCCAGCCTCTCTCTCTAGTCTCCCTTCATCCCGAGGGCAGCTCCCAGGTCAGCACATCAGTTTGTCACTCTGTACTGTGAAGAACATAACTCCTCAGATGCCCAGAGCTTCCTCGTGTGAGCTCTGTCTTGTTTGTTTTCTATGCAAACACTGCCTCCTGGCTTTAGAAACCCTTCCTTGGAACACAAGGAAGACAGAATGCCTTGTCAACTGGCCTTGCCACCCAAGTTTAGTGGCTGGGGTCAGTTGGCTCTAAGGTGCTCCCTTCTTTGGTGCTCAGTGTCTAAGGTGACTGTAAATGTCCTTCCTTCTCTGTCTAGGTCACAGATTACAGGCTGTTTCCTCTAAAGAGTTGGCCAGCCTGAGCTGAGAGTTAATTTCCCGCCAGCCAGCAGTCTGTGCCCTGAGCAGTGAAGGGTGGAAATCTCCACAAAAGCCTTGCCAGTCATAGAACAGCTGGATGGGGTGGAGGGTAGCTCTGACAGACGAGGGAATGTTCTGGATAACACGTCAGTGTGTTCATAGGAGAGCCGAGGGTCATTGCCCAACACACCACCTTTCTGCAGATGGAAGTAGTGGGGGCCATAAACAATCCCCCACCATCAAGGTAGCAAAAGTACTTACAGTACATGGGTCAGTTCTCTCTCTTTGCTTTTCTTTTTTCTTCTTTTCTTTTGAGATAAGGTCTTGTTCACCCAGGCTAGATTCAAACTTGCAATCCTCCTGCCTCAACCTCCCAAGTGCTGGGCTGACAAATGTGCACCACCATACCACACCACACTCAGTGGATTTCTTGACTTTTTTTTCTTCTGGAAATTGTAAAGCATCTTGAGTGAATGGTGCTAAGGCTGGAACCCAGAGGCTCGTACATGCTGCACACACACCGTACCACTGAGCTGCGTCCTCTAGCCCTGGAAAGTGTCCCTTGAGGCATTAATCAACCACGTTTGATAAGCCAGTTTCAGTGAGCTGCCCAAAGTTGGGAGGAGGATCGAAGGACTTCCTTACAATTCCAGCCACGCAGTGTTGTTGCTTCTTGAGTTAATAACAGCCTCGGTTTTTCAGATGTGGGAGAATTGTAGGCAAAGAATCTCGATGAAATAGCAGCTGTTTATGAACATGTGCATCAGTTATAAAA